TCAACTACACCCGTTTATCCTTTCACGATCGCGCGCGATGTCGCAAAATCGTTCGGCGACAAGAATCACTCTATCCTGCTTTTTTTTACCCTTCTAACCTACGCTCTTACGTAAGTCCAAGCTTGCAGAGTTGACTTTTATTGAAGAGGTAACGATATAAATCAATTTTATCACGATCGACGACTTTTCTCGTATCACCAATCGTAAGATTGCACACAGTCGATCCACTTCAACTCATTATTCACAGCTCTTACCTTTCTAATTTCTTCGAGCTGCAGTACATCGGCCGATAAATAATCGTTCAGAAAATGATAAAATGCAGGCGAACGGTTTTGCATAAAATACCATCGAAGTGAAAGCACTTTACCCGAGGGGAGATTTGACATCGACCTTGTGATAGTTTCACTTGCTTTATGGGGTGCGCAGGAAAGTGTGAAGATTTTTTCCCCCCGAGACGTCGCCATGGTACGTATCATTTAGTTCGAAAAATCACCCGGATTTCTAACACAATTTTCTGCTCCGCAGACAACAGAGCGGGCTAAAAACTGGCGATAGTGTCTTACCCGTGTGATTGTGTCAACACCGGTGTTCACCGTTAATTTCTACGACCCACCGACACGCTGTTTCCACTTTCAATTTCCTGCACATGTTGCGTTTAAACCATGATAGATCCAATTCGTGATAGAACCTACACGTCAACTGCACAATGTGTATCGCGGCCACTGCCTCCGACTTTCACCAGAAATGATAGCTGGAAAGCAATTAGAGACAAATTTTTTTACAGCTCTTTCGATCTACGACACCGCCGGGAATAATATGCTCGAGTAATTTCCCGGGAACTATGACCAATGAATATCGGCCGGGTAATTACACTTCCCCGGAGCTCGCGGGAGCACGTTCTCGCTGCATTAATTACCAAGTTCATTAAAGTTCCCTTAAAATTCGTTTAACCACACGTAAGGTGCGCATCGTCGGCAAATGTTCAGCCGCGTTTCCCGAGATTCATAGGCAACATACCGTAGGAATCAGTGGTTGCCTGATGGCATTCGTTAAACGAGAGAATTAATTAACGTTTCCCTTTGCAGGTTATTACTAGGAGGATTACGATCTCGAGGCTGGTGACAGTAATTAACCGCACGAAACTCGGCGGAGGTATGAATTAACGAGGAGCCAGGTCGTTGACACGCCGCTTGAGCATCGACGATCAGGGGAGAGTCACGGAGATTTGACTCGGTTTTTCTCGACATGCTTTTTGTCAGTCATAGAAAAGCTAAACCCATTCGGCTGTCTCGCATCGCTAATCGCTGGATATAAAAGATCACGAGGTCCGAGTCGCGGCCAGTTAAGAAGGAACGTCCGTCTTGTGTCGATAGAGACGGTGCAATGCTGGTACGTGTTTCCAGGAATCTGTTAAAATTGTATTTAGTGAATTCAGTGAAGGAACGATATTTCAATATGTAACGTGTCTGAATGGTTCGATATGTTGCAGAGTTTTTCACCTATCCTATTTATATGGGCGCTGAACTCAGTCGGAGGAGCGGAACATCATCTCTACGTACCAAGATTCGTGAAATTGAAAAGAGGTATCGTCGATACTGGCCATGCTCCTCAAGTCTACAAGTTTCACGGTCCAAAGTCCTTATCCTACAAGGATGCGAAAATTATTCCTCAAGAATCGTTGATTGGAGGTAGCAGCTCGTCGATTCTTGGAGATTTTAAACCGTCGGTACCGTATACCAGCCTGCCAGAGTCTCAAAGTAGCGAGCAACTCTCGCCGTACTCTGACAGCCTATATACCATGTCTGCTGGATATAAAATCGCGAACGACAATACTGCGAAACCACTGATACAAACTGGTAAGTATCTCTAAAAAAAAGAAAAAGGTTAAGTAGGACAATCTGGAACTTTCTAATTATATTTTGTTTTCCAGGTCTCCAAGTTCCACTGTACAAGACAAATTATCCCTTACCGAAAGCCACGGTGTCCCAAATGTACGCGCCCGCGTTGCAAAGTAAAAAAGCTCCCTTGCAAATTTTCCAAATGCAGAAGGGTCAAGAGTTTCCCGGATATTTATCCAGCTTTCAGAGACAGCCGCTCGTACTGAACCCCGGGAATCACCAGTTCAATTACCCGGGTAGAACACCGAAGGTGAACAACGTGCAGCTAAGCGCACCGTTTCTGTCGCCTCTTTCCAGTTTCCAGGGTGAAGTGGTCCCAATTTCGACGGCGACCAACAACCCGCAATTTCCGCAGTACAAAGGTGCTGCAGTAGAACTTTATCCAGCTGTTGGCGGTTTTTCGACGGTGGCTTATCAGCCCCTTCAGGCACAGCCACAGTTGCACTTCGCGCATGGAAATGTTCAGCATGTGCAACCTGTTGAGAATCCTCGTCATTCGAAGCCGGTGCAGGAAATTCGTTCCGATGTGGAGATTATCAATAGAAAGAAACCGGCGAGGCCACCTCCTAAGGAAGACGACGACGACGATGAAGATGATGATGGTGATGATGAAGGTTCGTGATATATCTGCTTTTCTTGAGGAGTGTGAGTCTAGAGGAGAAGGATTTGCAAAAGTCTAAGTCTCAATTTTGACAATTTCTCAAGAAGAGGTCTGTTACACGGACTTTTACCGAGTCTACTACGCTCGCTATTGATGAAGGCAGATAATAATTCAGAAGATAAACGCAGGCCGCAATTTTAAGTTAAATATCTCGTAAACAATTGACCGTTAGCCCTCAAAACCGAGTACCGCTAGCTTCCGAAGCTCTATCATTGGGCAAAAGCTGATTAAAAAGTCGGTGTAACACCTCGAAATTTCTCCTCGCAGGACTGCTCGCTTCCTCGAGCCGTCAGCCTTCTTCCCTGTGCCTACATCGCGGCCAAAAACCTCAAAAGTACCGAGTACCATTAGCTTCAGAATTCGGAGCTCTATCATTGGGCAAAAACTCGTTAAAAAGTCGGCGTTACACCTCGAAATCTCTCTTTGTAGGGGCCTACATCGCGGCCAGAAACAAACGCGCTTTTTTCGATAGTCTTAGCTTTGTCTACTTTTCGCTGTCTGCTTTATCCACGCAACAGTCTTCGGCTTCAGCCTGAAGCCTTCCAAGGGCTAATTTCAATTTGAAATACCAATGTGATTTTGTCGAACAGGTTACAGACCGCGTGGAAAGCAATACGAGGGAAATTCGGAGGACGACGACAACTATGAAACTAAATCAGGAAGTTTCTTTAAAACATCAACGACCGAAGGAGATTTCAAGCCTTCCACGTCGTTTCCGTTCAAGCAGTACGACGAGAAATTCGGCAAGTATTCGAAACAGAGCCGGGATGAAGGAACCGACGAGAAACCATACTCCAAGTATCATAGTTATTCCTCGTCGAACGACGACAGTGACGATGAACAAGTGTCGTCAGGCAAATATCACGCAGAGGACACTTCCTCCAAACCGTTTTACAATAGGCAAGAAGACGACGAAGACGATGAACACGGTTACGAAAAACAGAGGACCGACGAGAGTTCTGATAACACGCAGGGGTCTAAATACTTTGACAAGGATTTTGACGAAGACTTTGAAGCATCCTACAGGAGGGAATCACCGAAGCAAAGTACGTACTGTTTCTTAAAAATCAGATAGTAATTAAGAATAGTAAAGAGATTTATGGATTTAGGGTACGGCCACGTGAAAGAAGTTCCAGAGGTGGAATATGGATCGAGATCATTCAGAAGAAACAAGGACAATTACGAATCTGACGAGCCATCCGGCGAAAGAAGTCGGACAAATGCTAAATACCGCAACAATTTTCAGAATTTCAAGGACAACGAAGGACACAATTCTGATATTCTAATAAGTGCAATACCCGAAACGATATACAAGGAATCCTTTGGATACAAATTACCTCAGGGAAACGATAAATTCTAGACCGTGTAACTTAAGAACGAATTGAGATGCATATATCGAGGCTTGGATGTAATTAGATGTAATTTATCCGACATGTTGTCACGCTATTTATATTGTTACGTCTGTTTTGTATATACACGAGTTCAACATAAAATTGCGTTGTGAATGGAGCAGTGCTAGGTATACTATATGTATATTCGGTCGTTGCATTACCATACAAAGACAAATACCCTTTTCGTTCGGAACGATTACAGGCGGCCGCGTAAAAGGAGCTCTTTCACGAACGTTATTCGCGTCGTCGATCAAACGAACCGAGGAATGTAATTCACCGGAAGTATGCGAAATATAATTAGCTCTCGATGATTTTCTCCGCGCGAAGATAACATAGTCATCGCAGCCCATCAATTTCCGAGATAGCGAACCCGGAGTTCTTCCGCGGAGTAGATTGTACGGCACCGGTATGGCAGAAAATTGTCATTAGACAATAAAGACCTATCATTCCGCCACGGTATTCGAATTTTTACATTCCCCCTAATGAACTTAATTAATTTTGTCATTACACCGGGCGATAGGGCATTCTCCTGCAATTCTATCGGTATATATACCCCAGGACGGAGTTGGAGGATTCAGTATCACCGACAACATCATCCATAACTCCCTCAAGATGAAGATCGCCTGCGAGGTAACGTGTCATTTCGAATTCCGAAACTTTTCTCCTAACAGAAAATCCATTAAACCGGTATCTCTCGTCGAAATATTTGCAGACCTTTATTGCGCTTCTTCTGGCAAGCATTGTGGAGTCGAAGTTGCAAACGAAAAAAGAGAAACGCGGGGTAGCAATACTGGGTCCATCTAGCTACGACTTCTTTGGAGCGGCGCCAATTTTTTCCGCTCCTTCCTGGCAGCCGACCAGCTTCGGATCTGCTCCATGGAGCCCTTCTGGAGTACCTGATATCCCTTTGACGCAGGTTCAAGTTCAGGCCACTCACGATGTTGCTATTCAGGTACAATAGCCGGTCAAGTGTACTTTTTCGTGTGTACCTTTATTTTATCTCGACCTCAGGCTTTGAAAGACCCGTCTTCTGGCACACCGAGCATCGCCTACCCTCCAGACGTACTAAAAGCCATTCAACAGGCCAAGGAAGCGAATCAGAATGTAAATTCGGCCCAACAGAAGGTCGCGGAGGCTAAACACGCTGCTGTCGTTCAACAGAAGGTCGCTCTCGCGAAAGAAGCTGCAGCAAGGGAGGCTGCAGCCAGGTAAATTCATCTCTCGCGATAATACCTGGAACAGTCGATGCCAATTAATTAAGCACATTGTTTTGCTACGGATGCAGATCCCAGGAGATCTCCTCAACTGCCGAAACTGAAGCCAGAGCGAGTGCGAAGCAATTAGTCGCTCTGCAACAGAGATTGGCGTCCCTCAAGGATGCAGTTGCAGCGGCTCAACGAGTGGCTGCAGCCAGGGAAGCGGCTGCAGCTGCTGCGATTCAGAGGAACGCCGCTGAGACTGCAGCCCAGTTGCAGAAGCAGGACGTCGATAAACAGATCAGTCAAAGCGAACAGGAAGCAAAGGTAGGAATAAGTTTTACAACGAAGCGGACTCGATACGCTCAGATTGGATTATTAATCTTTTAGGAGAAGGACATAATCGCTGCGAAGGAAAATGCAGTAGCGAACGCGGTGCAACTTGCGGCACTGCAGAAGTCGTCCCATCATCCTTGGGGTCGATAATCCCTCGCATGTTTGTAAAATCTTGTAGTTATGGTGATGGTGTCTTTCACATTTGTTGCAAATAAAGTTTGTTAGTTTTGTTTTTTCACAAAATCTGCTCATTAATCAAACCAACACGCGGCGAGTAGAAAGTGCCACGTGCGCTTTCACCAGCAGACACGCATTGTATCGCAGCCTCTACTAACAGATACGCGCACATCTCGTGTTAGCCTCTACCGCCATTCATTACGTTTAATCAGCTTCCCAGACCGAAAGAAGCAAACAAACGCTTCCTGTGTCATCAAACGCTACATCGATCCGCGGTAGAGGGATTATCTAACAGCCCAGTGATCGTGACACACTTGCCGGTCGCGATCGTCGCCGCGACAAATGGATCGTTAAAAGTCGTAGTCGCTTCCTTTCACGGCACCGCCTGTACCCGTTCAATTCCCTTTCGAAATTCCCCTGTTTCCTGGATCCAATTTGAAACAATGGCACCGTAGTTTGTCGCACGTTCGCGAGAGCTGCCAGTGAAAGTGACGGTGATTCGTTCCACGGGGAAACAGTATCGACGGTCAAAGAATGCGATATCTGTAACGTGTCCAGTTACGTGCAACACAACGCCCAGCATCAGGAGAACGACCGAGTTGGATAAACTCTACGTGATCCCTCTCGGAATCCTTTCACTTACCTCTTCTCCTTGACCATCCGTACTATCCCCTTTCTACCCGGGTCCTGTGGTTCCCCTCGTGATTCCGCCCGCTTCTACGAATCACAGGTAATTACGTGGGAAGAAAGTCGTTCGATCAAAGTCGTTCTTTCCTAGCCCGGTGGCTCCTATGTTCGCTCCCTAACAGACAACGACCCTTTCGCTATTTAAGTGAGAGGCTCTCGTCAAGGGATTCTGACCGAATTTCATAATTACTTTATTTTCACTTTAGGGCTTTCGTTACTTTAGAGTAAGTGCATATGTGTACATATTTTTAAGTTGAGTTTATTCATGTTGAGTTGAGAAGATGCTCGATTCGGTAATTGGTTTTCATTCGCCTCGACCAATGCCAAGGCGCGCGACCCTCGGTTCAGCCTGCTTTGCCAATAGGCTGGTATGTAAGCTGCGCTCAGGTAAACACGACTATTATAACCAGGCAACACTCCTCCTTTCACACCGGACCAGCCAATACTTTCATCGATGCTGCTTTTTTTTCGATCTACTCGCTTTTTGCCTTTTACCTCACCCAGTTTTATTTGCTTTCCTTTCTTATTGCGTGAAAGATTCCACGACTCTCACTGAAACTGGCCGTAACTCAAATTTTTCAAACACCCGCCGTAACGAAAGTGTCCCCTCCCCCTAAAAATACGTTTCACAAAATTAAAGATGTTAATCGGGAACGTGTACCTTTACTATTCGTAGCTCTCGTAGAAAATCCGTAATTTATTCGAACGAAACAAATTCTAAATAGGTAATTGCTTATAACGAGGCTGGATAACCACGAAGGTGTTCGCTCGGTGATCGTTTTAACTTCTTTAGAAGTAGACCGTTACGGTTGACTTTCCCGCGAGAATTTTATTGCCGGTGACATCGCAAAATAGGGCAAAACGGAAGAAAGAGATCCCCGAGTAGGAAAGGAAATCACTTTCGACGCCGGTTCAGTCGAGAGAATCACGGACGGTCCGCATGGGCGTTCACCACGTTCACCGCGTTCTACGTTAGTTGGCAAAACTGACGGTGCATTCGGTCAGTGTTTCTCGAGGAAGATCGACCTTCTGGTCCTCCAAGCTTATGGAAACATTAATCGCGCGTTATTGTCGAGAAGAAGCTATTTCACCTGGAGACACTTTGTTTTCTTCCAAGCTATGCTAGATAACATACAAAGATCGATGTATATCTGTAACCGAAGAAGTAAAAACACATCGTTACACGCAATGCGTAAGAGGGAAAGCTCGACGTCTCGACGTCGGCTGAACGAACCTGGAAGATCCGTTACAGCGGTGATCGGTCGTAACTTCTAATTTCCTCGGGATCGAGATCGTTTACCAATCGGCACCTACGATTCGATCACGGTGACACTGAAAGTTAGTTCTCGTCTAGCTGGTAGAACGGTGTCAAGTTTCGACGCGTATTCGCATAGGTGTATTTCCTATGTTTTTGTGTAGGATAGTGTCGAGCATGCAAGTCCGGTTTCCAAGAGAGAGATCATCCACGCTTGTGTCTCGAACGGGAGAGGGAGCAAGCGTATAAGAAGGATCGGTCCATCGGCAAGCACGCGCAGTATCCGTATTCGTTTCTTCATCCACTAGCTCATTAGTAGTCGAAAAATGTTCTCTTGGTTCTCCGTAAGTAAATGGCCAAAGAGATTCTACGGATACGTACATACGTAGGTTGTTGAGGGAACCGGTGAATCGTCGGACAAATGTTGCATCTACAAAATTTCCGGAAGTTTCGAAAGAGTATCGAACGACTGGTGAATAGTGATTATATCGGTGGATCGATTCTGCATTCACGATGGCTCGTAAAACCGCGAGTATCGCGAATCGTTTAAACTCGCACTTGAAAACGGAGTTACGATCGTAATAAAGGGGATCTATCGCCGCGAATAAGTGATTTACTGCTTATTAGTTGACCGCGTTTAGAAAGCACCAATTGAGTAAACCTGACAATACCGATTTCCCTCATCTCTGCCCTCTTTACTTCTCCATGATCGTTCGAAGCTTTAGATTAAACAATTGAACCACGTTTCAGGTAATCGTAGCGTGCCTGGTAGCCAAATCCGCGGTGGCAAGTATCGAAGGTGAATCCGAGGGTTGGCAAGGGTAAAGAATTATTCTTAACTTCCTCAGATCTCGACAAATTCAAATATTCACCTAAATTCAATAAAATTTAACAAACAGAGTATCCGGAGGCGGAGGCGGAGGCTACGGTTCAGCTCATGGGATTGATTTAGGACACTTGTCAGGTGGAGGTCTCCACGAAGGGATATCTAGTTATGGCTCCTATGGGGGCGGTGGAATCGATCACGGTTTGCACGGAGGACACGTTCAACACCACTACGCTCCTGCCGTGCCTGTGAGCGAGCACGTGGAAATTACGAAACCTGTACCCATACCCGTTGTCAAAAACGTCGGTAAGTTTGCCCCATTAATTACCACACCGACGTTAATTACCGTTATAAGACTGTTACGTAAACTTATTCGAACAACGATCGCTGTCGATGTCGTAACCACGTTGGTATCCCTAAATCGAACCTCTCGTCTCCTCTTAACGAATCTCTCCGAAACAGTCACCTTAATTAAGATATTCCCTGTGAACACAGGTGTGCCAGTTGCACAGCCTGTCGCTATAGGTGTACCACATCCAGTCGCCGTGGGTGTACCGCAGCCGTATCCAGTTCACGTGCCAGTCGCGAAGCCGGTAGCTATCCCTGTTGTGAAGACCGTGGCAATTCCAATCGAGAAGAGGGTCCCGTACCCGGTGGAGAAGATAATACCTGTCCCGGTGGAGAAGCACGTGCCCATCCCGGTAGAGAAGCACATACCTGTGCCCGTGGAGAAGCCGTACCCGATTCACGTGCCGGTCTACAAGCACGTGTTCCATCGGGTCAAGTCTTACGGTCACGGATGGAGCCATTAGACGTCGTTGCATCACGATGCTTTCAGGGTTCTACATCTACGGAAAAGAGGGAAACGAGCGTAACTTCTGCGTGTTCGTAAGACGCTACACGCTGGAAGATATCGGTTTCGTTTCCTCGAACGATTTTGATATGATGCTACTCATCTTTACGAGGAGGACATGCGTGTCAATAGAAGAAACCGACGAAACGTCGAATGCAGAGACGTTGTTCGACCAGGCTATTGAGATTTATTTATGGTTGTTCTTTGTTCTGTTACTGCGTTACCAAATAAAATGTTAATTAACAAGTATCACGTCTATATACGATCCACCCTCTTCCTCCCCCGGGAATTAGAATGCGTAGGCTGAGAGCTATCTGTCTTAATTAAGATTAGGAGGTAATGGGTGCTGTTTTCAACACGTGAGAAAACTCCATCTATTGTCTTCTTTCGAAGTGACTCGATTAATAAAGGAGGCGGACTTACAGTCCAGTTCCTTGTAGCAGTCGAAGTGTAACACTATCGTGTGCATGTATAATCCTGGATAGAAAAGTTGTTACGGAACGAGTAATCGATGGTTGTCGATCGACGCGACACAACTCGTTCTTTTTCCTATCAACCTCGGTGCATTGTGTGCGGGGTTCTTGTACTTTTCTCTTCTTCTTTTTTTTTCAGATTGCGGAGAGCAGTTCCGTTAAACGGTCGCGCTGATTTCCGAGATAGTGGTTGCATTTAAGTCACGAATTCCACTGTATCTCGACGGTCTTCTAATTATCATAATTTTCTGGGTAGTAAGTATCAGATAGCGCGCGGTTCGTGCCTAGACGCGGTCTTCGCGGGCTTCGTTATGCTCTCTCCACAAGCCTGGTTAAGTACAAAGGTGCGTGAGTTACTTGACTCATGTCTCGGATATCGCTGCACGCGACCGTTAGTCGCCTATTTGTCGCGTAACGCGACCGTTTTCTATAGCATTTCACAGAACTGGTCTACCGAAAGTCTCTCTCCCTCTAACGAAACGCTGAAACGAATTCATCACGGGAGACGTAAATTTGTCGCGGAATAGAAAGGAGATAATGGCAGGTAGGCAGCGGCGGTGGTTCGTGAATGGTTAATAACAAAAAAGTACGATCGTGTCTCGTTTGGAGAAACGTATGACAAAGTAAGAGAAAAAAGGAAGGCTAGCAAGTGTGTTCGAAAGACGATACTTTCTTAATGCGTTGAAAATGCATCGTCAAATGCTCGTGTCACTACGAAATTCATTTCCATTAGGAAGATGGCAAATTGAAATCCCCTGTTCTACTTAGGTATAATCGTCGTATCCTCGGTGAAACTCTTTCATTCATTAGGTGATCAGAAACTTTTACACGTACTCCCGAGGGCCACGCGATCCTCTACGGTCGATTCTGTCAAGTTCATTCTCTGCGAGAGACTTGAAAAGGAAAGCAGTGGTAATTGCTCAATAAAGCAGTCATTCAGTCGGCTCGTATTTCTATTCACGTGTGCAAATGATAGAGGCGCGAAGATACGAAGGCAACGAACTGAGACGAGCCGTGTTCAGGAATCCGCGAGTTTCCGTGATCCTTGAATATACCATTGACGTAATGGTAGGAGAACCAGCCGGCGGTAGATCGAAGATGAAAATTGGCCGCGCACGCGGGCGCTCACCTTCGAATAGAGCAGAGAAAATGTCCGATTCGCACGGTATCAGCGAATTCGCAAAGCTGGCCAATAGTTATCACGCGTCCCCCAGAACGAATGCCCGTGAAACAATTGCTCTAGCCAGCCTCGATCCGTTGCAACGAGCCAGTGGACTAAACTACATCGTCGACAGTGAAAGGCTCGACGGTATATTAAGACGAGCAATGAGCAAAGATGTATCAGTTGCCGAAGAAACTTCTACAACCAGCAACCAGGCGCATAGCAAACATGTGTTCGAACATGAACAAAATCGTGAGTATAGTTTTCACACGCGACTCGCGTTTTCCCAGAGCAAATATAAATATTTTCAAAACAATTCTTCCATTTCTCTTCGCCTGAAAACTGTTCGTCCTTTCGATTGTTACTTTTTCTAATTTACCACACTTTGCTTCGTCTTACAATGTAACATAAACTTTTCTCTCTTTTCTTCAATATTCACGAATACACCAACTATATACAATACTTCCTTTCAAGTGCACCGTGCTGCACTCAGCGAAGGTTTCGAATGTGCATTCACTTCGTGAACTTTACCTTCAACTTACGTAGGTGCTACTTTCTCTGGTGTCCTTGGCCGCGGCCGCGCCGGTGATCGTGCAGCAGGATCAGAACGAGCATTTGCCTCAGCTTTACGGAGGTTTCCA